CTGCACCCTCACTCTGCACCCTCACGATGCACCCTGCACCCTCATACGCACCCTGCACCCTCACACTGCACCCTCACACTGCACCCTCACGATGCACCCTCACGATGCACCCTCACGATGCACCCTCACACGCACTCTCACACTGCACCCTCACACTGCACACTGCACCCTCACGATGCACCCTCACTCTGCACCCTCACACTGCACCCTCACGATGCACCCTCACTCTGCACCCTCACACTGCACCCTCACGCTGCACCCTCACACTGCACCCTCACGCTGCACCCTCAGTACACTGGCCTTGGAAATTCCAACCTCAACATCTGTGGGGTTTGTCACTCTCAAATCGCAGCTATTAAAAGAAACTGTCGGTGTCCTGAACATGGTGTCCTGAACATGCCGAAGCTTTTCTCGTTACAGCTGTGCACGCCTGCTGTTAAACAGCCAATCGCAGGGCATTAACACAGCTGGGGTGGCCCTAAGTTACTTAGAGAAGGCAAATCTTGCAAGTTTATGGAACTTAGTATGCATGAGCCCTGGGCTCCATCCTTACCCTTGAAATACAGTTTTAGAGGCTGGAGAGATGGCCCAGTGGTGAAGAGCACTGGCTGCTCTTCCAGAGGACCTGGGTTCAGTTCCCAGCATGCACGTGGTGGCTCACAAACACCTGTAACTCCAGTTCCAGGGGATCTGATGCTTTCTTCTGGCCTCTCTGGGCACTGGGCCACACACATGCTGCACAGACATACAATTAAAGAAAAACATTTTAAAAGAAAACCAAGTGTCTAGGAGCATGTATAAAAATTATATGAAAGCAGTACATTTTAAGCTTTAAAATTTTTTTATTATTTATTTTGTGTGTGAGTGTGTGAGGACAAAGGCATGTGTGGAGTTCAGAGGATGACTTACAGGGCTCAGTTCTCTCTTTCCACCATGTCGGTCCCAGGGAATGGAACTCAGATCATCAGGTTTGGCCCTTGGGCCTTTGATTGCTGAGCTATCCCAGCCTCCCCTTTGAAAAAAATTATTTATTTTTATTTTGTGCACATCGGTGTTTTGCCTGCGTATATGTTTGTGTGAGGGCATCGGATCCCCTGGAAATGGAGTTACAGACAGTTGCGAGCTGCCACGTGGTTGCTGGGAAATGAACCTGGGTCCATTTGGAAGAGTGGCTAGTGCTCTTAACCACTGAGCCATCTCTCCAGGCCTCCTTGCCACACACACACACACACACACACACACACACACACACACACACACACACTTTTCCCCCTCTGAGACAGGGTTTCTCTGTGTAGCTTTGCGCCTTCTCTGTGTAGCTTTGCGCCTTTCCTGGAACTCACTCTGTAGCCAGGCTCTCGAACTCACAGAGATCCGCCTAGCTCTGCCTCCTGAGTGCTGGGATTAAAGGCGTGCGCCACCACCGCCTGGTTCCCCACCCCCTTTTTAATGCAGAGGATTCGGCCTATGGCCTTATATGCTCCATCTTGAGCCACATTCACAGCCCTCACCGGGGGATTCCAGGCAGGAGAATCCTCCTGAGTCACAGCCTCAGTCCTGGTTGTACTTTTTAGTTTGAGGCCGGGTCTCACAAGTTTCCAGGGCTGGCCTTAGTTTCCCTCTAGACCAGGCAACTTGCCTCTGACTCCCAAGTAGATCGGATGACCGGGTTGTGTCATCCTGCCCATGTTCACAAGTATGTCAAAACAGGTAAAACAACAACAGTCTTACACGTTTTATTAAACCCAACCTGCTCAAACTGCATTTCTCTGACTGTGGTCTCCACACGGACTCAGGGACAGCTGCCACTTTGGACAGCGTGTGGTGAGGTGGGTGAGGGAGGCCGGCCTGCTGATGGTCTCTATCCACTTCTGTCCACACAGCCGGCCCGTGGTGCCTCCTTTGATCCCCCCAAAGATTCCAGAGGGCGAGCGCGTGGACTTTGATGTAAGCGACAGGTGTCCCACTCCAGACGTACCCGCTGGTTCCTCTGGTTTCTCGGCGCCTTGAGCCCATTCTGATAGGTGCCCCTCTTGGCTCCCTTCTTGAAATGCCTGGATTTACCCTGTTGTCAGCAAGGAATGCTTTGCTGACATCTGCCGGAAGCCGTCCCAGCTGGCTGTCATTCATCACCTGGGGCTGGGATCGGCGGCTCTTGGGGCCTGGTCCCGCGGCCTCACGGGCTCCCTCTGCAGGACATCCACCGGAAGCGCATGGAAAAAGACTTACTGGAGCTGCAGACTCTGATTGACGTGCATTTCGAGCAGCGGAAAAAGGAGGAGGAGGAACTTATTGCGCTGAAAGATCGCATCGTGAGTGGGGGAGGCCGGGTCCTTCAGTCCCTCCTCTTCCCTTCCTCCGTGAAGTGCTTTGGGGTCTCTGGCAGAAATAATGGGGACCCCGGGTGGTTGCACTCCAGTGTGTATTTCTGCCAGGCGTGCACTTAGGAGACCAGGGCAGGCAGATTGCCACGAGTTTGAGACCAGCCTGGGCTATATGAGACTAGCTCAGAAAAGGAAATAAAAGAAACCACACTTATTTCTCTTGCTGCCTACTGGTGGAGAGAGGGATAATTTGGGGGAGAGGCTAGCCTCCGACCCCCCTCCCGCATCACCCTCCCTTCCACCCCCCAGGAGAGGCGTCGCGCAGAGAGAGCTGAGCAGCAGCGATTCAGAACCGAAAAGGAGCGAGAGCGGCAGGCCAAGCTGGCGGTAGGCGTCTGTCTCTTCGCTAGATAAGAATACTTCCTTTCCCGCTTTTGGTATTCTCTGTGGTTCTCACAAAGTCCCTGTAACGTATAGCATGAGGGCTTTTCTAATGAAAGGCTGAACTGCGTATAAATTTAAAAGTCTACTGCTGGTTCGGCTTCAGGCACGGCTGGATCAAGAGACTCCAGCCATAGCACAGAGACTGAGCTTTGCTGGGTGTGTGGGGTCAGACCTATGATCCCAGCATTGGAGAAGCCGAGGCAAGAGGATTTCTGTGAATCTGAGGCTCTCGCTGAACTATTTATCACGTTAAGGAGTGGGTCCCTCGGTGGTCCCATCTGCGCTGGTTATGGAGCTGAGCCATCGACGACCCAGGCTAGCGTCGTCTTCCTCCCTCAGGTCTGCAGGGTCACATGGAGGGAACCCCTCTGTTTTCACAGGAAGAGAAGATGCGGAAGGAGGAGGAGGAAGCCAAGAAGCGGGCAGAGGATGATGCCAAGAAGAAGAAGGTCCTGTCCAACATGGGGGCTCATTTTGGGGGCTACCTGGTCAAGGTGAGTCTAGCCTGGGGAAGCCTGGGGTCTGCGTCTACAAGGAGGAGGAGGAGGGAAGGGAAGCTTCAGCGTGCTGGTTCTGAGGAGCAGGACTGAGCCTGTTCAGGGGTAGCGGTCACTTTAGATAACACGTGGCCATCTGCTGAATGTCTCTATCCCCTTCCGTTCACAAAGCCTTCTGGTAGTGCCTGGGTGTAAGGGAAGAAGAGTGGCCTGTACTCCCGTGTCTGATGGAGGAGGGGCTGGAGCCTGGGCCCTTGCTTGGGT